AAACCTCTTGGGACATACAAGAAAGCAAGATCCGCCGTGCGCAAGCCCACTGGAGCTCCCCCTTATCATAAAATGGATCATCCGAGTCCCCCTCATATCCATGTCCCCTCATCAGTGTCCCCCGCCCCTTACATCAGGGTTTTCATCAGAGTCCCTGTTTGGGCCCATGGATCCTCTTACATCAGGGTCTACTGTGAAGCATGGTGGAGGGTCAATCAGCTTCTATCCAGCCCCCCTTTACATCAGGGTCTACATCAGAGTCAACAGGACCCCCACCTTAGATCAGGGTCCCGATTACAGTATCGCCCCCCCCCTTACATCAGGGACTGAACTGGAGGCCCCCATGAAGAATGGGCGAAGAGATCGCCCTCCCCTCACTTACATAAGGGCTCTCCATCAGAATAAAATATGAGCACCCCCCTTTACATCAGTGCCTCTTTAATGGTCTACATCAGAATGGCCAAAACACTCCCCCCCCACCTTAGATCAGGGTCCCCATTACAGTATCAGCATACCCATCAGAGGCCCTCCCCTTACATCAGGATCCCCCCTCCCCCTTACATCAGGGTCCACCATCAGAGTCTCCTCCCCCCCCCTTTATATAAGTATCCCCCCCCCCTTACTCTATCATCAGATCCCTCCCCCCATCCTCAGACATCACCACACCATCAGAGTCACCCCCCCCACCTTCCGCCACCTACAGTACATCATGGTGTCCATCAGATTCCCTCCTACATCAGGGTCTCTGTAAGAGTCCCCCCACCCCTCCTTCTACATCAGGGTCTCTATCAGAGTCCTGTTACCCTCTCCCCCTTACATATGGGGTCCCCATTAGAGAGTCTCCCCCCCCTTTCATCAGGGTCCCCATCAGAGCTCCACCTTACATCAAGCCCCCATCAGTGTCCCCACTTACACCAGGGTCCCAATCAGAGTCCTCCCTTACACCAGGGTCCCAATCAGAGTCCTCCTTACATTAGGGTCCGCATCATAAAAATCATCAGAAGCGGAGAGACCATGTGGCATATTGATGATATGCCACGGACCCTAGACCAGGTGAAGTCTACGGGCCCTAGTTTGGAGATCCCTGGTTCACACCAACCTTCATTTCAACTTTGCCTTTTGGGCAAAAAAAAAAACAAAAAAAACATTACACATTATTATGTCAGTAGGGTTCTGTTTTGACCCCCTCCCCAACATGTTAAACATCCACAAATATGTACATTGGTAACAGTTAACAATGCATGAAAACCCAGGAATGACAGTTACACTGAAAACTCGTAACGCCCCGTATGAATGAAGGATAAAAAGGTGCGTTGTGTTATTTGTGTAGTAATATTATTTTGTTGCCTTCTCATTTTTTCTGCTTGTAGCGATTGTTAAAAAAAAAATCTAGATTTTGTTTGTAAAGCCAGGCTCAGCACTGTTTTCCTTTTCTTTCCGCAGAAAGGGATTTAGTATTTTGCTGCTTCGTCGATGCATAACAAAGGCTAGCGTGACCACGCCGAACATAATTAATTGCTCTTTTTTTTTTCTCTTTGTATCGTGTGAAGGAGTTTTCAGAGATTCCGGTAAATAGAACTGCTGAGCTGTAATTCATCATCTTCACTCCAGTTACTTCATCTGGGTAAATGTTTGTTCTTTGACATGAATTAGGGCAGAAGCATTTTTAGATTTTTGGCCGGTACTATCTGGGATTTCTATTGGGGCCCGTATGCACCGGGTTGCGTCATGGAATTTTTTTTTTTTTATACATGCGCGAGGAAGCCCATGGGCCCCAAGCCACCAAAATGGTGCATTCTTTTCTGTGCAACACACGGATATATAAAGATTTTTCTAATGGGTCCAGAATTGGATTGGCGTAGGTGAAGGCTTTCATTCATTGATCTAGATAAAGAATCCCAAGGAGCAGATTAGCTCAGACAATGGATCTGATCTCTCTGTTGGGTGCAGCTCAGCTCCAGAGATTTCGGCACAGCTCCGGGCATTGATCAAGAAGAGGAACAATGGAGTAACTTATTGAACCAGGGAATGCTGGGAGGGGGGACACAATACCCCATTCTCCCATCTTACAATGACATGGAGACCTCTGACTAGGCACAGCAGGGCAGCCTCTTCTATCCATCCTGAGAGAAAGACGCACAACAAAGGCCTCCTTCCTCCCAGCTCATCCTCTGGCCATGCACGGCTTTCACTGCGAGGAAAAAACCTTCACTACTCTGTGCCTCACTTTCTCCAACACAAGGGACAGACTCGGCTAATTCCATCCTATTTATTGGCCATATCAGTTCAATTCTGCCCCCCCCCCCCAAATACTTTTATAGCACCAGTGTACATTAATAGGACTGTAAACGCCATGCATGATAATATATTTATATCAGGACTGGACTAATCCCTGAAGCCAGGTATCTCCTTTAAAAATTACACGTGGTACCTAACCTTCGGTGTTTTCTTTAGTTCAGCCTTTCTCAAACTTTTTATCCCAGAGGAACCCTTGACATCTTTTTCAGGTCTTGGGGACCCCCTGCTAAGACCAATTTATGGTCAGTGGGACTAATGCCCCATACATTGCTGGCCTTTTGCCAGAATGCCCTACAGTGGTGGTTAGAATGCCACCGTTACAGACAACTAAAATGACCGTTCATGTCCTGCAGCTGGTTTTGTCAAGTGGCACTGACCCCGGTACTATGCAGGCACCATCAAACTGGAGGACAATCAACTGCAGCTCAAGGAACTCCTGGCAACCTCTGTAGGAACCCTAGGGTTCCATGGGAACCCCGGTGGAGAAATGCTGCTTTAGTTGCTAATGACCTGGCTCCACAATTGGACAGAAAAGCTTCTAAATTCCATATTCCACCCCTGATAGATAGATAGATAGATAGATAGATAGATAGATAGATAGATAGATAGATAGATAGATATTAGACCTCTTGCCCTGTCCTTCATATCACGGGTATCTAAACTATCTAAACAAAGGGCCAGTTTACTGTCCCCCAGACTTTAGGGGGAGTGGATCGTGGTTAGTGGGAGTAGGACCCAGCATCAGTGGTAGTAGACAGTGTCTCTGTCTTGGCGGTCAGTGAGAGTAAATACATTTTACATAGTGCCTTTGGTCAGTAGGAGGAGGAATAGTGCTCCATCATTGGTGTTAGTGGTAGGCATAGACCTCCATTATTGGTGTCGGTGGGAGAAATTGTGCCCCACTGTTGGTGTCGGTGGGAGGAATAGTGCCCAATCATTGGTTATAGTGCTAGGCATAGGCCCCTGTCGTTGGTGTCAGTGGGAGTTATTGTGCCCCACTGTTGGTGTCCATTTTTGGAATTAGTGGAAGGATATTTGACCCATATCAGTGGGAGGAATAGTGTCCAAAGTGCCAGATAAAGGCAAGCAAAGGGCCACATTGGCCCCACAGTTTGGAGACCACTGCTCTATATGATATCTTGTATTAATAACATTGTTTGATATTGATGGTCCAGAGGCAGATTGACCATTCAAGTGCTTGGGCAGTGCCCGAGGGCCAGGGGTCAGTAGGGGGCCCCATGAGATGCCCCTGGTACCTTTCATAAGGTTTTTGAGTGTGAGCGAGGACACAGGGGCCCCATGATCCCCTATTGCCCGGGGGCCCCATGAGTTGTCAATCTGCCCCTGTGATGATCTACAGAGAATGAATTTCTGGCTAGCTGAAAAATTACACAATCTGTTGCCCATCGGTGATTATTGATGTACCAAAAATGTCGTGATTGTCATTTAGTGCATTGAACCTTCTGTATGGGCTGCACTGGAGTGAACCAGAGCTTTGCCCATGTAGAACAGATCTATTAGAGCTTCAACTGGTCCCTTCTTCCCAAACCTTCGTAGTCTCTGCCAGAAATACAGTAGCTGTGGTTCCTGGAAGACCAGATACAGCGCCAAGGTGACACCAACAAAAGTACATGAGCTATGGTTTTACATATACTGTACTATTTATTTATTTTTAAACCAGGGTTTAATAACCCTTTAAGCCTGTCTCAAGAGATATAAAAGACCCTGCAGACTTTGCTTGTAATTCTTTAATATTTTGAAAGGTCACCATTATCATTCCCTGTCCTTCCACAGAGAGGGTGGCAATTACCTCCATAAACACTGGTATAGCGTCCGTCACCTTTATAATTTGTCACTCCTGCAAGTCTTTCCAGTGAGCGATAATCATCTCTAAATAACGTCTTGTATCACTAAATGCTCCCAGCTTCGCACATGCCCAACTTCTTCAGAGTCATCCTCACCTTCGTCCTTCAGTAGAAGTTTTTGTTGCATACACAGCCCCGGGTAAAAATCAAGGCTATAAAATGTCCAACCTGACCTGTATATCAAGTGGCAGAATGACTGTTCATAAATTCCACCTGCTGTATGACTTTTCCTTCTCTTCCTATGCTAATTCATTGTAGTTTATTATCAGAGATCTGAGCCGATCCCACCCTGAAGAACATGAGGGGCAGAAACTGGACAACTGTCCTGGAGCAAGGGAAGGGACATCAAAGCCTGGTTACTGATCATCATAGGATTATGTGCTGGAGACATACATAAGTAAAGGTGCCTGCAGATGTAAGATAAAACTTCCAGACTACATTGGAACTTACCGTATTTTTCTCTCCATACGACGCACCTGACCATAAGACGCACCTAGGTTTTAGAGGAGGAAAACAAGCAAAATAATATTCTGAACCAAAGGACTGCAGACATAGTACAGGAAATGACCAGAGACTGCAATGTACTACAGGAGATGACCAGAGACTGCAGATGTACTACAAGAGATGACCAGAGATTGCAGGCATAGTACAGGAGATGACCAGAGACTGCAGATGTACTACAGGAGATGACCAGAGATTGCAGGCATAGTACAGGAGATGACCAAAGACTGCAGGCATAGTACAGGAGATGACCAGAGACTGCAGACATAGTACAGGATATGACAAGGGACTGCAAATATAGTACAGGAGATGAGCAGAGACTGCAGACATAGTACAGGAGATGACCAGAGACTGTATACATAGTACAGGAGATGACCAGAGACTGCAGACACAGTACAGGAGATGACCAGAGACTGCAGACATAGTACAGGAGATGACCAGAGACTGTATACATAGTACAGGAGATGACCAGAGACTGCAGACATAGTACAGGAGATGACCAGAGACTGCAGACATAGTACAGGAGATGGCCAGAGACTGCGGACACAGTACAGGAGATGACCAGAGAGACTGCAGACATAGTAGAGGAGATGACCAGAGACTGCGGACACAGTACAGGAGATGACCAGAGACTGCGGACACAGTACAGGAGATGACCAGAGACTGCGGACATAGTAGAGGAGATGACCAGAAACTGCAGACCTTTGGGGAGAGGGGGGAGTGGGTACCCAAATTTGACAGGTACCCGCTCCCACTTCCGCTGAGATCGCTTAGGTCATAGGTGTCAAACTGGTGCCCCTCCAGCTGTTGCCAAACTACAAGTCCCATGAGGCATTGCAAGATTGACAGTTACAAGCATGACACCCCTGGCCTAGTTCATCGGAAGCGGACGTTTTCCTCCCTCCCTCTCCCCATAGTCTTCTGGGACACGTGACAGGTCCCAGAAGACTACGGGGCCATTCACAAAATGTAGCGCTTCTTGCGCATGCGCAGTGGGCACCCGGCTGTGAAGCCGCAAGCTGTCACAGCCAGGTGCCCACACTAAAGATTCCAGCACCAGGGAGAGAAGATGTCCGGTGAAACCAGCCGTGGTGAAAACACCGCTGGACCGAGGGACAGGTATTTTAAAAGTCAGCAGCTGCGGTTTTTGTAGCTGCTGACTTTTATTTTTTTTTTCAGCTGGAACTTCGTTTTAAGGGACAGCTTTGGGCCCTGCCACAGAAGAGCCGAGCGACTGGCCCGGTATTCTAACACGGCGCAGCGATGGGGGGGAGTACCGGTCCGGCCACTCCATATTCACTCCATAAGACACAGACATTTCCCCCCATTGCGTCTTATGGAGCAAAAAATACAGTATACCTGTAAACACTTCTGACCTGCCCTGGCTTCCTTTGGCCAGTGGATTGACGGGTTCAGTTTTTCTGGCTGGTCTGTATTGTTTTCCCGTGTACATTAGTTTGGGTATAGAGGTTTTATGCTTCACTACAAAATCACCTATTCCCCCAAGTCTCTCTGTCTCCTGAACCTTTGTGCGTAACCTACTCACACTGGTCATCCGATTCTCCACAAATGTGCGTATCATGATGTAACCAACAATGGTATTAACGAAAATTCTTGAATGACAAAGACAAATGTTCTTTCTTGTGTAGGATTTCTATGTTTGTTGCTGCCTCCTTTGGGTTGCTCTTTGCTTCTAATCATGCGTGTTTTTCTCTATTCGATTATTTCTGTACGATTGTTGTACACATTGAGCGAAAATTGGGCATTGTGCTTTCATTTGGAAAGTCTGAATCGGATGTCGAAAGTTGTGTACACACTACAAGAAAATCGAACAATCGTTCCTCGTATGGAATTTTTCTTCCAGGTTTCCTCATAGTGTTCCTATACACATCAACAACAGTTTTCAGTGTCTATTTTGCCATCTTTTGATACTTGAACGATTGCAGACATAGTATATGGACATCTTCTGGATGTCAAGATAACACTTAGTATTTTCTTGCAAATGATTCTCTTGGCAGATTAAAGGAGAGCTCTAGTCGTTTTTGTTTTTTTTTTTTTGTCTTGAAACCCCCCCCCCCCCCCCCTTGCTAGTGGCAGATTATGCCATGCAATTTGGCATAAACTACCTGTACTTGTTCGTTTTCCATTTAAAAATGATTACTTGCTGGACATTCTAGATTACGCAAGTTTCCATCTTCACTGTGGGCATCTGAATCCTGCACGGACATTCTTCTAGGAATTGGTGCTGCTGGCTACCGATTTCGCACCTGTGCAGTGTGAAGAAGGCGTGGCGCTTTCCTCGTATTGAAGGTTGCCATAGCAATATCAGATCCCGCCCCGTTGATATGACAACCTGTCAATCAATGCATCAACCCGAAAGGAAGATGGCTTGATGACATATATCTTAGGAACCAACGGGCGGGCGGTTATGACTTTCCACGAAGTACATCGGAAGTAAAGCACTGCAGGCAAGAAAAGGGTATGAAAACTGAGGGGGGAAAAAAAAGGTGCCAAACATTAATGGGCCAGCAGTAATAAAGACATGGGGACAAACTAAAAATCGGGTGGAACTCCGCTTTAAGTGTTGGGGATGAGGACCCTATTCCTATGCCAATGTGGGTGCTTGAAACAGCCTAATTCCAAGTGACAGTTGTATTCCATGGGAGGAATGGGAGTATGCCATGTGTTGCCCCATACCAATACAAGTTATTTGTCTCTGTTCCTGGTGGATGGACAAAACAGTGGGAAGGTGAAAAGAAGGCAATTGTAAGCTGCTACAGATGCCACCATCAAAGTAAACCTGAAGCTTTGACCTGTAAGAGCAATGCAGATGTTCATTTTAAGGTGGCCATCTTGGTAAACACAAGCGAGATGACCTTGATGCTTGCATCGTGCATCAGACAAGCATAGGAACACAACAGCTCCGGTTGGCTAAACGCCATCTTTGTTCCTATGGAGAGTGGAAGAAATGAGCAGCTCTGAAGAACTGTTGAAGTGACACTAACTAGCCTTTCTCAACCAGGGTGCCTTGAGGTTTCTTCAGGGGTGCCTTGGTAAAATGTCTAAAAATTGCCCAAAACTTGTATACAAGCCTGCCTTTTAGTTAATAAATCACCTCTAATCTTGGGTGTCCTACATCTGTGGATGTTGCTCTTATAAAAACTATTAGAATATTTTTTCACGTTTTAGAATGGGGTGCCCTTTTAAAATTATGGACAGTCTTGAGGCACCCTATTTTAGAATGGGGTGCCTCAAGACTGTCCATACTTTTTAAAGGGTGCCTTGACTGAAAAAAGATTGAGAAACACTGTCCTAAACTACATATTTTTCTAATCTGCTCAATGAAGAGCTCCTGCATACAGTGGCTCCCAGGAAAGGCTACTTGCTCCTATAGACATTAAGTCATCACCTGATCCACCAAATAACCCATCTCTTGCATATGGGCACCCTTAGCTTGCTCCTTTTGTAAACATATCTGTAAACACAATAAGGACTTTAGTTTAAAATGTCTGTGAAGCTTCTCGTCTATCCAGGTCATGGTGTATCTAGTAGTAGACCTCACATTTAACTAGATAGGTCCTGGTTGATAGACTGAATGTGACTAGGACTAGATTTAGTTTACAACTTTATTTAGTGTTTGTGTTTATTTTACTAGTTGAGGTCTCAGACAGGGTGTAAATAGCTTCTTGTGGATTCCATTAGTATCTGATCCTCACCTCTACACTATAATTTCTGTAATTGCTAAACACCTTGTATACAGAAACACCTGCTAATAATGGGACATAGTGGCTTTGCTTTCAAGTGTGTCTTTACTACAAAGTAGACCCTTTTACATGTTGTTATGGCTTGTTTACACATACACCCTGGGGGCCATGCAGATAAGTATCATGATGTGGTGACTGATAGGAGTGGAGACTGAGGACAAGGCCTACACCCGTTCCAGACATCTCACAGGTCATACAGAGATCAAAGCTGCGGGTAAAAAGTCTCAGGGGCCAAGGTGACCAAACCTGCTCTGTGTCTGCAAACGGCAGGCCCAACCTAGTGTCTCTTGTCTCCTCAAATCCGAGGAATTATGCTATCAGTAGACGTCTCCATCTTAAACCCTTCACTTGAGAATCAGACTGACAAATTGGTCACATATTTGTCTACCATACATTTTATTAGATCAGAGCTGATGGACAGTTACAAAATGGCTGATTTCCGCAATCTTTAACTTCCCTGTATATGGTTGATGGATGATTCTCAGCTCTTAAGAGTGGGGATAAGCAACAATTAACAAAAGTCTGAAGGTTCTAATAAACAAGCAGTAGATCTTCAAGGATGGTGGGATATGCAAGCATGGTCCAGTCACCTCAGGATGGGTTCTGACCAAGTTTTGGCTATAAATTTCATGAGATTTGAGTGTTCTGTTTATGGCCAAAGCCATTGTGAGATAGTTATGATAGGGCTAGGGGCACCACAACCCTTACCGGTCCCATAGCTGACATCTCTAGAGAAACATGTCTATCAGCAACCATTCACAGCACAGATTGGATGACATTGTTGCATTTGGAGCAGGATAGCACCTACCAGCCGACCCCTAAGGGGGAGCAGAACATTTTCTAATTTCTATTGTTCCACCTTAATAAGGCAGTACCTGCAGAGTTTGAGCACACTTGCCCTAACCCTATAACAAGGTGACCATTGATATTGATGGTAGGAGTACTGCAGTCACATCCATGAAGGTGATCCGTTTGTGTCTGGATGTCCAAGTTACCCTTTTATGTCAGCAGCCAGCCTGAGCTTTCTGTCGATGGGCTTTGAGCTTGTGTGGATGGCTTTGTTGTAATATCACTTTGAGATGCTTCTAACATCATTCTGAATTTGACAGATGCATGTGATCTGCAGTTGACCTCCTTTTGACCTGCAGTAGACCGCCTTGTGACCTGCAGTGGACCTCCTTGTGACCTACAGTGAACCTCCTTGTGACTTGCAGTGGACCTCCTTGTGACTTGCAGTGGACCTCCTTGTGACTTGCAGTGGACCTCCTTGTGACTTGCAGTGGACCTCCTTGTGACTTGCAGTAGACCTTGTGACTTGCAGTAGACCTCCTTGTGACTTGCAGTAGACCTCCTTGTGACTTGCAGTAGACCTCCTTGTGACTTGCAGTAGACCTCCTTGTGACTTGCAGTAGACCTCCTTGTGACTTGCAGTAGACCTCCTTATTGACTTCACTAGATCTCCTTTTGGTCTTCATTAGATCTCCTTCCGATCTGCAGTTGACCATTTTCTGATCCGCATTTGACCAGTTTCTGATCTGCAGTAGGCCTCGTTCAGACTTGCAATAGACCTCCCTTGGTCTTCAGTAGATCTTCTTCTGATCTGCAGTTGATCACTTTCCAATCTCCATTAGGCTTCCCTCTGACTTGCAGGAGACCTCCCTCTGACCTGCAGTAGACCTCCTAACCTGCAGTAGATCTCTTTGACCTGCAGTTGACCTTTGTTGTATTACCCCTAGACTTTGATGGGAAAGCAAAAGCTGCACGAGCAGTCATGTTGGATTTATAATCTGTTCGCTTTGTTGTCATGTGACATTGATGTGACTTTTTTTTTACAGAATGGATTTGGCATCTATAGCAGTAATAGTTATACTAGCCATGAGGACCAAGCTCAGTAGAATGGCTATCCTTATCTATAGTATATTTTTCGTTAATATTCGTAACACATACCGGGCTCTCTTGATACTGTTGTGCACACCCAGGAGCAGGGTGACAGTTCTACAATTTATTGTGTAATCCTTTTAAATTGTCGCCTATAACCCACCTAGACTGTTTCTTTCCATTCATTATGCATCAACGGTCTTGTTTCCTTGATCTTGCC